CCCCCCCCCCCCCAACCTCCAGAGCCAGGGAGAAGCGCCCTGGGGACGAGATTGGTTGATTTTATAGCAGCTAACAGCGGGCAAGTGTAAGCCTGCAAAGACTATCTCAAGCTTTGCTTCTACTGTTGCATTTGTCTTTCAGGCACAGGCTGCCCAGTCCTTGGCACTCCTATTGATGGACGCATGTACGGTCAACGTAGAAAATACAGCTATGGTGACATAGTAAAGTTTGAATGTAACCATGAATTCGTACTTGAAGGCTCAGCAGTAAGAGAATGCACCTTCGACAGGAAATGGAGTGGGAAGGAGGCAATTTGTAAAGGTAGAAATCGCAGGTAGTACGTCAAGTTACTGCTTACACCACTAAAAAGGCTGCTCGCCTTTCTGACGCGTCCTTTCAGAGTAAATAGTCATTTTTCGCTATTAAAACAGCAGTATTTGAAGGTCGTCGTCATCGCAAACTTTTCAACTTACCATAAAATCACGTTCAATTCTCTTGACCCAAATTTACCTAACCACTGTTGTATCACTTGAGCGGAGTGGAAGCAGTATTCTAAAAGAAAATACATACCGATCACCTTGATTTGATACAATTCCACGCCAAGCTCATTCTCGCACTTGATGCTGTGGACAAACGAAGTGCCCAAAATGCACCTCTAAAAAGGGTGTGCAAAATGCACCCCTATCTTTTAATGTGTTTGATTTCAGTTGTGTTTCTCCTGGTCTGGAAAAACAAACAAATCAAAGGACCAAAAGAAAAAACAGAAAAAATAAAAATAAAGAAAAATAATAACACAGCAGTTTTGAAAAGAAAAATGATAATGATAAAAGTAAAATAGCCACCGTTGCTAACGTCTCAAAGGCCATAGGTTGTAGAAAATACAGAGGAAATATTCAACCCCGCTCCAAAAAGCTAAATAGCTGAAAAGGACATTTCAAAGCTTAAATTTTACCAGTAAGCCAAAGGGATGTCTGTTGCAAACATCAAATTGTGGGAAAAGCTGATGGTACTTTACAGAAGAAAGAAAAAAGCGACGAATCCAAAAGAAGGTGTAAACTTTTCAAGCTTGAAAAGGGAAAAGTTTGTTAAAATGACAATATTCTATTCCCTTTAATCATTTTCTTCGTATTCGATTTCACTCTTGTGTATATCTGTAAAATAGAGTTTAAACTGCTCAGTACATCTTCTGTATAAAATTCTGTGTTCGAGTTATTGTCGAGTGAAATGTGCGTACGTTTTTCTTTATGTGACTGAATTTTTTGATAAATAATGTAAGGTAAATTTAAGCTTATGTATAAATGAAATAAGACGGTTTTAATCATCTTTGTTTAAACCGAAATAACGTCCTTACACTGCAAGGAATTTATGCAGAACTTCTGCCCCGTCGGTTTATTTTATTTTATTTTTTCAAATACCAAGAGCCTAATATGGCTCTTGCAAATACACAAGATTTTGCATTCGCTCCGTTAGCAAGAATGTCAATTAAAAAGAAGGTTTCAGTTTAACTTGCAAGCTTTCGACAAGTACGTGCACTCAGTGGAAGGTACAACAATAATATTGCATGATGATGTCATTTTACTACAACTACCAGAATCTGGTTGTTTTCTTGTCCAAATTTATTAGAAACAACTTTTAGTTGCATACACTGTATGTGGTCAAGTCTGGACGAAAAAGACGTAAATGAGTATTTCTTATCTCAGAAGAAGAGTAGTACGTGAGCTGAAATTTGTCCAGGACAGCTTCTGAGCTTTGCCGAAAATCATAGGAAATGACCGCTCCGTTTGAAGGCCCCTGGTCCAGCTAGTCGTTCCGCCTTGGTCCGTGCAAACTGATTTGCTCTAGTGCCCAGTTCTTTTGCCGGAGAGAATCCTGAAATGAGCATGCGCAAAATTGCGATTTAGGCGCCATTTCTTTCGCGCCATAGCTACTGCGAGGTGTAAACGGTCGAAGCTTGTAGTTTGTCACTCCAAAAAGTATCTAAATCTACTGTAAAAGTCAAGAATAAGTATGCTGATACATATAAATGGACCGATGATGAAGTCGAACTACTGCTGACGGTCACGAAAGAATACAAAACGAAGCAAATCGCCAAAAGCATCGACTGGGAATCTTGTGTTGACAAGTATGGCGAGATTCTCGAAGCTTACAGTGCTCATTATCTCTCGCCAGAAGATGCTGCTGCTATTGGCAAAGATTTTCCACGCAAGAAGGATGAGTTAACGAAGTCTGTTTTAACGTCAAAACTAAAAGCTATTCGTAGCAAGTACAGACAAGCTGTCGATAATGGAAGAAGAAGTGAGCATGGTAGAGTCGTGATGATCTTTTACGAACACTGTTCTGAGATCTGGGGTGGCTCACCAGCTACAGCAGCTATGCCAGATGGATTAGAGTCTTCTGAGAATCACGAAGAAAGCTCTAATCAAAGGTCTTTTGATATCGACGTCGATAGCGAAGATAGTCCAAAATCATCAAGTGAGGACATTGTTGAAACAGATCAATCTAACGAAAGTATTGTAGATGATGATAGCCAACAAACACCAGTGTCAAGACAAGTCATTAAAGAAAGAAGAGAGTTATTGAGTTCTCAATTAAAAGGACACAAGAGTGAGAGACGGAAGAGAAAACTTCCTCTAGAGTCAAAGCTTCTTAGTATATCACAGGAAGAACTTCAGATCAAAAAACAAATGCTTCAGAGGATGGACACTATGGACAAAGCCTACTCCAACTCTATGGAAAAGCTTACATCAAACATGGAGAAGCTTACAGGATCTAATTCAGATGGATTTGCTTTACTACAACGCATGATGTGCCAACCACTCAACAACATGAACATGAATCCTCAATTTATGATGCCATCTCACCATCTACTAATGTAACCAAGAGCACAAACATCAGCTCAAAGCACAGAGAGCAGATCCCACCACAATGGACAGTTTTCATATACGCAAGCTCTTTTTTCAGATAATGACACAACCTTTTAGTTGGTTGATTAGAAGCGTATTGGGGGCATATTGTTTTCCTATTTCAGTAGATGACAATTCTAGTTTATGATGCTCAGGGTGCAGGTTGCTATGGGTGCCCAAAGAAGATTATTTCATGAATCACACTTTTTCTTTTGTTATTTAACATCCTTTATTTAACTTACATACTTCATGAATATTTAACTAACTGAAAGTCCGGGGAGGGCTTGATAATGTAGCAGGGAGGAGCGGGGCTGATGAATTGAATCAATTGCTAATTATAAATGCAAGGGGCAATATCTATATAAATACCCGGTATTTATCTGAATATTGCCCTGCTGCCCTGGGCAATATACAAATAAATCCCTTCCATTTACAATGAGCAATTAAAGCAAATCATACACGTCTTTTGACCACGCCAAACATTCTGACAAAATTTCGCCCTTTAACACAAATATAGAAACTTATTCTGCAACTATAGGAAATACAAGAGTATCCCATATATCATGCAGGCTATGTGTTCACTCTAAGAAAATTTTAAGTCTTTGGAAAATTTCGTCGTCACTTACACGCTTCCACGTTCTTTCTTCTTCCGAATTTCCAAAACAAACTTCCCAAGCCAGTAGTCAAGCTGCTCATTAGCAACTTTCTTAATGTCAGGATTGACTTCGTAGTATTTCTCTTTGCTGCTATTCTTTTTAACTTTTACATTGCGTACGACGGCCCATTTCTCCCAGCAACGTACCGCCCATGAAGTATTAACTTTCGTGTTTGCCGGTATTCTGGACTCTCTTCTCTTCTCGACTTCGTTATCACAAACAACAACGATATTACGCCCAGGA